CTGATGATGGTGGAAAAATACACCGAAACGTATTTTGATTGATAAATAGAGACAATAAATGACTGAAACCCAGGAATGAATTTCATTTGGAATTGAAACACAGTCAGGAAAGTATATACAATAATTGCCAATTTAATACACTTTTTTGCTTTATTCTATTACGGGTTTAAGTAACAGCTAAATTGCAGGTCACAATACTCATCATAAAAAAAACTTAAGCGATATCAATTGAACATTCTTGAGACCAATACGTATTTGTAATTTTTTTAAATATTAACGTTAAAAACTCTTAATATTAGCTCACCAATTCGACACAAATGGCACATCAGTCATAACAAATATGATTTAGAAAATATTTACAAAACTAGATAATAACATAATAGACAACACAATTGTTCAATAAAACACAGTCAACATAAAAAGTCTACTTAAATAAACTTGAAGCATTTCTGCTTGTCATGTGGTATTCTCGTTTTAAAAAGAATAGAGTCTGCTCTATATTGTGTGTTAAGTAGTGGCGTATATCCGAATACCTGCATAAACAGGCAGGCATTAATTGACGCACAAAAGCAAATAAACAAACTTACCTGCGTGAAAAAGTTGATACATTTGTGCCTTTCTTGAAAATGTGTGTCGTCCTCAGACAGGCTTTGTGGACACCCAGAACACCTAAACGTCCATCTGGATGTTACTTTCACGGGCGGTTTTTTCGTTATATGGCTAACCAAAAAGTTCATCGCAATATCCTCACAATTCATATATTCATCTACTTTGTCTCGGACGGCTTGTGGAAGCCATTTCCAATACAGGTGTAAGTAGTGCCTATGAAGAAAGGCTGCACCTATGAAAGATAAGCGCAATTTTTTGAAAATTACTTGGACTTTTGCGAGCTCCGAAGAGTGAAATTCCTACCTGTTAGTACCATACTTAATTCACAACTGTAGTTTGAGTTGTACAACCATCCATTTTTGGTATTCAAGTCCCAAGCGTGGAATCTTCCAGGGAATCCCACAATTCGGTCTCTATGCTCTCTCCACACCCGGAAACCGAATAAAATCTCATCGTGCCTACAAATCGCTCAACATGAATCCGCATATTTATAATATACAAATGCACACACCTTAAATGCGCATCATCATCCACAGACAAAATAGCTTCAGTGTTTAAATTCTCCAACGGTAAAAACCGATTGTTTAACGAATTTCTAGCGGCTTTAACAATGTGAACTGGAGCGCCAATGTCGGGCCACTTTAATTCAGGACTGGGTAGCCGAGGTGAATTCCATATCACGACTACAGAATGAAGGTAGGGAAGCCCCCGTAGTCTGGCTATGGAATCTAGCAGAACCTGCTCCCTTTCGTAGGTCAATAGGAGAATAGTGAATTGTTCTCTAGGACTGTTCCCTCCAAGTGCGTCGGAGAATTCCTTTCCAGAGCCACCAGCCCCGTTTGCGATCGGTCTGAAACCTCTTTCGGAGCCCACAAACTTCGCATCAGAAGGAAGCAATGGGTCCATAGGCAAGGCTGGATACAATCTAAGGAAATATTTATAATTTTTAACCAGCTTCGAAAAATAAACTTTTGTTTGGCAAACTGCTTATGCTAAGAAATCCAAAAGTTTTTTAAGACTTGCTCGATACAACTGAACTTAGCTCCTGCTTGATTGTGTTCTATCGAATTGCGGTTTTTCTTTTTTTGTCTATGTTTTAGGGGCATTCGTTTATAAAATGTTTTTTTCTTGTTATCAGCTTTGCTTGATTTGTATGATTTAGGAATTAAAACAAAAACCCACCTGAAAGGATCACCCCAATCGTTCCATATCTCGGGGCCTTGTGTTAAACCTAAACTAAAGTTTCTCCTGAACGATAAGCTGTCATATGGAGGTTCCAACGGACCCAAGCTTTCTTCTTGTTCGACATCACCAGTTACCGGCACTAAACAAAAAATAATGCATGTTTATAACGAAAACAATTCAAATTGTACAGAATCGCTCGCTTATTTTATAGTGGTGTAACTGTTCAAAGTGTCTGCTTTACCTAATATAGGCTGAAAAGTATCATTAAACACGCTAATCGCTGCAACTGTATCGGCTGGCAGAGCAGGTATATTCAGCCGGTTCCTCAAAACCGCTACTATTGTATCCAAAGTACTTTGCACTGAAGCTAAATATCTCTCCCAAATAAGCCGGCCTTGTCTTCTAAAAAGTTGAATGTCTTCATCAGGAATCGTTCTTAAGAGAAAGTGCAATTCAGTGACTCGAGCTTTTGGCAAAAAAATTACAACCCGCTTCCATTGAACAACTTCATCATAGGCCAGTTTAACCTGGTCTCCTCCTAGGATTACTGGGACAGCACCTGGAAACTCATTCAATTGAGCAAAAATGTTTGTTAAAAATGTTTTCGAACTGACCAGATCGTAAAGCCTCATATACTCTGGCTTGCAGTAAGGTGGTGGACAGAAAATCTGTAGAACTGGGAGCAAAAATAAGGGCAAACGTGGAGTCTTTCAAAACAGTCCTTCGACTGCTGTCTGTTCCACAAAGGGCCCAATCCTGAGGTCCGGTATTTCTAGTATCATCACTTGCGGGAATACACTCGAAATCGAACAAAAACTTGTCGGAAGTGTGAGTATTTCCAAGCTCTTTCAAATGCTACAAAAAAATGTTTATTTATTGTTTGCAGCGTGTAAGGAGTATTCACACGCCATTCAACTGCGGCTTCAGAGATAGAACAGATACAAAAATAAAGAAAGTTTGTTGCCAATTCGCAGTTGATTTGCGTGTATGAGTACAGGGAGACTAACAAAGGGTGAAGCGGAATTTTTTTGAAGATTATACGAGTCAATTGATCCCCCAGAATACGTTACCTGCAGGATAAAATTGTTCAGCTCTATATTTTCCTTCTCCAATGCCGCATCATGCGTTGAAAGTTGCTTTTCAGCGGCGTTGCTTTTGTTGGCTTTGATTTCTCCTTGAAACGACAATAAGTATTTACGACGACTTGGTAACATGTAGGCACACTCTTGCCAAACGTCGCCCCCTGGAGGGCCCAAAACAGGCGAGACGATTAAGTCGAAGCCATCTCGAAAATATTCATAGTAAAAAGTCGATTGTACTAAGATGGCCCTTCCTGTAAGCAATAAAAATTTAGTAGGACTACAGGTTTTTTATAGACTTTAGTGGATACTACCTGTATCAACATTGGAAAAAATATCTCCACTATTAGCGCTCAAATCTCGTCTAGCTAGATTAAGGAGAACATGATTTCGACCATCACCTCCCCAATAGGGCAACCTTTTCAATGCCTCAGAGTTAAGGGGCGGCAAATTCAAGTGATTGCCAACATTTTCACTGATATCATCTGTGTCTTTTAAAGCTTCACCTATCGAAAGTATTGCAGGTTCAAATTGGAGGTGGTCAGCAGTTAAAGACACTCATGAACTTTTCTAAAAATACTCAACTTACCTACTAGTACCAGATATATGCATGCCTCCACTGGATCATGTGTTAAGTGAGGATTGTAACCCAATACTTGTTTAAGAGTGGTTTTCAAAAAACCATCCACATCCCATCCATCATTCATAACAGGATTTTGATCCGGATCGTACAAGTATACTGGAAACCCTGATGTTAACGAGCACCTAGAAAAAATGCATTTTCATGAAGGCATTTTAAGTGAATTGATATAAAGTGGTTACCTGGAATGATCGAAACATGTAAACATTCTGCAGTTTCTCGATCGGTCTCGTGAAATGGCTGGTAAAATGGGCGGTACAGAGTCAGGCAAAAGCCTCGGCGGCAGTGCTAAGTCTGGCGTATTTTGCTGCAATGCTTCATGCATGGCTACTTGTGCCTGTTCCACAGATATCTTAAGTCTATTTAAATTAGTCTGTTGGTGTACTAGCTCTAGCTTTAGTTCTTCAATGTTTTTCGCGTAATTCTGAAATAAATTCATCGAATTGTGAGAGTTAAGTAAATTTCAAATCCACACTTTGGAAGAACAAAAACACGTTTCCAAGTTGATAACCAAGTCCTACTCAATCCTACCTGAAGTTCCTGTTTGAACTGCCGTCTTTTCTTCTCGATATTTCTGAGTTCACTCAGAACTGAGCCCCTGATCCTAACTAATTCCTCCACACCCACTCTGAGGTCAATTTCGCGAACATCCAGCTCATCTGGTAGTTCCAAGTGGGAATGGGCACTGTGATTAATAAGACTAGAATTCCTTTCAACTTTCGATAAATAGAAGTGTGTAATTAACGGCGTTAAGATGAGGATTGCGAGTACCATAATAACAATTCGGGATAATTTTACACTAATTAACCATTGGCAAAAGGTTTGACGGGGCTGTTCACTTAAAAGATGCATTTTGGGGCTGATTTGGCTGTAAAACTATTTTTCTTGCAATTCACTGGGGTATTTCTGAGCACGCTTCAACACACAATACACCATTTTACTAATTTCCGCGTTCCCACTAACTGAGGCTACATATAGAAATTAAATACAAATCTATTTGCATCTTGTTTACCTACCATTATGTTTGGTTAGTTTAGCTTGACATTTTCCGCAAGAAGCTACGCGTCTCTTAGAACAAAGAACAAGTTGGCAATGCCGCTTGTAAGGACTGGAAACACAGAGTGTGGAGTAATTTCAGGCTTGTGCTGTTGAAGTTATCAACATGCCCACCTATAGATCATCTTTTTTTTAGTAGACTGAAAATACATAGAAAATCATTGTCGCATAAATAGCAATAAAAACGAATGCACCGAACTCATTAATTTTATTTATTTTTTTCCATTTTTGTGATATGTTCAAAATAGATTCAAGGTTTTTCTTATCATGCATAAATTGAAGCCCCGTGGCAAAAAATATGTGAAATATAATAAACTGTAAACTTATAATTATAACTTTCAGAGCTAATTAATGAAAAAATCCCTGAAGGAGACCACAATTCGAAACTTTCAGACCACATTAAGTGTCGTTTTTCTTATTGCATGCGAGAATCGGCATCATTACAGATCTCTTAGATTTTGAGCAATTTACATTTTTCGAAACGGTTGCAGAAAGATTGAAAATTCAGGGAAGAATCCCTGCAGAAACTTCAAATTCAAAACTTTCGGAACACATTAAGCAAGCATTTGGCTCGTAAAAAGTAAGATTTTAAAAAAATTGCAAAAAGTCAACGAACGTGGTTTGTAATCGCGTGAGTTCCAAAATTCTTTAAAACATGCCTGAAGGAGTTTCAAATTCGGAACCTTCAGACCATATTAAGTGCAACCCATTCAATTCTCTATCCAACGATGCCAAAACGAATTCTCTGGCTCGAATGGTTCTTGAGAAACTTCGCTTTTTTCGAAGTTTCAGCGTCATGTTCAAGTGGATTTTGCAACTCAAAGAAAACCACGCAAATCTAAAACTTCTTGAATTCCAGTATTTTTTGAGAAAACTGCCAACAGTTCCCCATCCGTGGTTCACTTTTTAAAAAGGCCATTTATTTATCTCTAGAATAATGTCCAAATGAGCGTTCTTACTCATTTTGCCTCCGAGATATGAGCAAAAACGGGACGGAAAACGT